TCATTGTTACATCGCACCGTGACTGGCTCATCTCCTCCCCTAGACCCCTCTGCAAGGGGATCTCCAGTGGCCTACTAATGGGCTTTGGATCTCCACTCTGCACTCCCCCCATCATTCACTATGGTAAGATTTTTTGTTCTGATGATGCCTTACACGTCTGGCTGTCTTTCCACTATGCTCTGCATCACAGACTAAATGACGTCTTTACCCCCACGCCAGTGATTTGAGCAGGATCTTGCACATTATAGGAACTCAGCAAATATTTCTTAATTAAGGTAGATTAATATCCTTATCTCCCAGAAGAGCATCTGAAGCAGAGTAGTTGTTTTATGATGTTGTTTTTGAATGAAAGAGTAACTCAATGAATGACATCACAGTATAATTCGAATGTGCTTCAGGTGCTTCAAGCTGATTTGGACAACAATTCTGTGTTATTTTATGATGGATGCAGAATGCTATTTTCTTTCTGTTTTCTCCTTCCTTGCTTTTTCATGTTCATTCTTTTCCTTTACATTTTGTATACTTTTCCATCAAATAAATTATTTGCCAAATAATGTAATGTTTACCTCATGTGTATGAAACACATGTGCAAATGTTTTACCCAGCTATGAACCTAGATAATAGGGTAATGTTGATATTCAAAGCATCTGAGGTATTCCCACTGTCCCAAGCAAAGAGAACCTCTATGCCATTGTCAGTGTAGAGGATGTCCAGCCATGGTGTACAGCGTAAGTCAAAGGTATGGCTACTAGGGCTTCAGTTCTGACATACACAGGTTTATTCAAAACAAACCACTGAAAGACATTTCTGCGATTAATTGATAGTTGAAGACAAGACCTCTAATAATACACTCCTCTCTGTCTCCTTAGGGTTCTTTCCTCCCCACAGGGCCAATCAAAACAGTGACTTCTGAAGGCATCTTCTGGCCAGTTCAATCCAAGGCAGGAGGTCAGCTCAGATGTTTGTGGCCAGTGCTTTTAAGGATTCCATAGTGTAATTTGATGGATTTTTTGGAAGGACACAGGACAATCATGGTGATATTTATCAAGAAGTTTTAAGAGAATTGAAAACTGCACTTATGAGTAAAAGTTTAGGAAAATTGAAACAAGGAATTATTTTCCCTCCCAACAATGCATTTGCTCATTCTTTGGGGGTAGCAAGGGTCATCTTACTGGAATTTCCTTGGAAAACTTGACCCCATCCACCATATAGTCTTGGACTGTCCCCTTCAGATTTCCCAAAACTTAAGGGACATTTTAAAAGAACATAATTGGAGCCCTCAAGGCTGCCAGTGCTGCCATTTTGACGGGGGTGAAGTGGTAGAGAGGTGGAATCGTTACCTTTAGACATGCATAGACCTGGATGGAGGACATGTTAGGAAATAGCAATTTTGTATTTTGATATTCTTGTTTATTAAAGCCTTCTGGGATGTTACAGCAATACATTTTGATGTCTTTGTAAATCGCCAAAAGTATGAAGACATCAGCTCATCTTTGAGGGCAATATTTCTCTAGTGGGTAAAAGGTTCTAAGAATAATGTGACCAAATGTTTGCAGACAGAGGTTAACCCAAAATAAATGTGTTACTGGAAGCCATTCAAAATGGATGCAATTAAGTTTGAAATAACTATTTGCCTAAATTCTTTTTATTACCTACTCAGAACAAAACGAGGAAAGTATGATACATCATTTAAAAAATGTTTATTAATTGTGCTTAACTGCATTGTATCTCGTGACACCATGATATTTTTAGTAGAAAAAAAAATCCTGTGTACCTAAATAAACTGCTCCCAACATGCAAGTATAAATGAATAGTTCCTTATCCAAGCAAACATTTGGAGAAAAGGTAAATTTCAAGCAAACATTTCCTAGAAATGTTTTTATCATACACCTTTAATGTTTTGTAAGCATTCTAAAAAGCATAACATTTTAAAAAGTCAATTTATTGAGTATTATGGATGTCATAAATATTATGTGTTTTATTAAAATCTATTTCAATTTTTGCTGCAGAACAAGTAATTAAATATTATTCCATTTTAAAGTTAACAAACTGATGTTCAAAAAAACCCTGCTGAGATGGCCATAAATAATCAGATGCTCTAATCTCAAGTGTCTAAGACATGATATTGAGATATTTTCCATAAAATAAGTTTTTTTTCATAGAGAACACTTAAGAAAGCATTTTGTCATGAGGAGAAAACAAATCAAAACAAAAACTAAAGTATATTAACTATGATTTCAGCATTGTGCCATTTAATATTCTGTGTCTGATTTAATCTTTTCTTCATTGCTATGCAGTAGATACGATCACCCTCGTTTCATAAATGATGAAATAATTCTATAAAGGTTAAGTGTATTGACAATAATGGCAAAGGGAATTCACTAAAAATATTCTTCACTTTGCTGTACAATTCCATTCAGGGTTCTATCCACGAATATGGACATGTGATCCTTGTGATCCTTGGTATCAATTGAAATGTTCAGCTTTTTGACAGATGATATTTTTTGGAACATCTTGCAAATGTACACTCTTTGCACTTTAAAACATATATTTTAGGGGAAAAAGTGATACATATTGATTTTGGAATTTTTACATATAAGTGAATGTAAAAGTAAGCTATTCCTATAAAATCCCCAAACAATAAGTTCATGTGAGAAATAAAACTTTGGTAATGACTTATGTGTGTGCCATTAAAATTAGAGAGAAAATTTGTTTTCATAACTGCACCCTCTTTTCCTCATACTACTCCTCGAGAGGCAACCTGAACAGAGGCTTCCTTGCCTGACCTACTCAAACTCCAAACCTAGTCGAGCATCCTCGTTTAAAGTCTCATCCCTGCCTTTAAAGTCTGAAGACACATTTATTAAACAAATACGCAAGAAAGGAAGTTACAATATGATAACCAGGAGACATATGAGCTCTGTGAGAATCACCCGCACTCAATATCTTGAAAATCAAGAAAAAAACGATTCAACCCCATATGCTTTAAGTCTCTGGATGATAAGAAAAATGTGTTTTCAATCTTTCCCTGAATATAGTGAGCTCAATTTGAGAATTGATATGTCTCATATTAAGACTTAATTTCTAAATACTCATGAGCTCTATTAAAATTCTCTGGCAAAACTCTACCATGCTTCCCTTCCAATGGGCTCTAATTCAAAGTTTTGGCAGGCTCTGACTGATTAGCAGGTTTTTCCCTTCTCAATCACATTATTGAGCACGCCCAAATGGAGCTCTGGGAACTCACTGTTAAAAATAGATATATATGTATGTATAAATATATTACTTTATGAAGTATATTATAGGGTTGTTTAGACTATCTAGAGGAGATAGAACTCAAGGTAATGGAGTGTAATAGAGAAATGTGCAATGTCTTTATAATAAGATCACTTAGTATGGAATTATCTTCCTTATTCCTATCTATACATGAAAGTGTACGACTGAGTTAATTTTTCATATAACTGAAGTTCAATGGTTGAACTAAAGGAGCCTCCACATGTGTACATTTCCTATCTACAGTGAATGATTACATGAGTGGTCACAAAAGCCACAGCTGGTGGCCACTGTAACTGTTAGATGTAAGAGGTACACTCATCACCATTTGCAATACCGTTTTCACTCCGTTAAAGGTTGATTAGAGAGTAGAACTACAAAGATGACATCAAGTCCTAAGCTGTTAGAGCTCTACTGAAACTCAGGTGAGGCGCCCTTTGAAGTCAGCTGGTGTAACGGGAGACACTGGTTAAATAATGGCTGAGTGAATGGATAACTTTTTGGATAAATGTCTTCTAAAGAGACATACCCTATATACTCATGTATAAGCCGAGTTTTTCAGCACATTTTTATGCGGGTTTTGTGGTAAAATTAGGTGCCTTGGCTGATATTCGGGTCAGCTTATACTCTAGTATATACGGTAAGCTAGTTTCAATAGTAAAAGGGTTCCAAAACATTTAAGGCTATTATTGTAAGATGTTGTGGAGTTGGTTCTGCCTCTTAGCAACCGTATGCACAACAGAAACACTGCCTGGTCCTGTGCCACCCTCATGGTAATTGTTATGTTGGAGGCCCACTCTTGTAACCACTGTGTTAATCCATCTCGTTGAAGGCCTTCCTCTTTACCACTGACCTTCCACTTTACTAACCATGATGCTCTTCATTGATTGATATCTCCCTATCACATACCCAAAGAAGTGTCCGCTTCCTTGCTGCTCAGGTGCATTCTGGCTGTACTGCTGCCAAGAGAATTTGTTCTTGACAGTCCATGGCAGTCTCAGCATTTTTCACTGGCACCCAAATCAAATGCATTCCAGCTGCCTTATTCAACGTCCAACTTTCACACACATGAGTTTTCAACTAACTTAAAGCCACCAAAGTAAAAGCACGTTTAGATATTTCTATTAAATCTTCTTTGCACTCGACGAAGCAAAACAAATCTCAATGAATGCTTTTAAATAACAATGGTCATATCTCATTGACAGTAGCTTATGGGAACTGTTTTCCTCTCCATTTTTCTACAAACAAATCTCCTATCTCCCCACACCTCCCCAGCCCCCAAATATATACATATCTTAAAATAAGATGTTTCCCATGATGTTCCTGGGGACTTTTAACACATTTTTCCATTGGCTAATTTCTCTTCTACATAATTATGTATATAACACCAAATGCTGATATATCACAGTGTAATAGATTTTCTCTCATATGGTTAAATGGATTAAGAAACAATAAGAAAACTTAAAAAGATAGAAATATGCAGAAAACTCCTTTACAACGATATAATGGATTTCACGAGTTCAAATTATAAATGCATTCCCTGAAGTTAAAATATATGCAATTACTAAGGGAAAATTTTAGAATTTGCCAATGGAAACTTTTAGTTCAAAAGCTCTTTGGGCTACTTATACACAGCAAGCCATATAAAGTTTAGAACACATTGAATTTATATTTTCTTCATGTTAAACAAAAATATTACCATACTAAAGTGAAAAAGAAATTCTTACCACCTTCTTTTGTGCAAAGGTTGACAAGGTTATGCACAGTGTCCATCAACTCCAGCTGCTGCTTCTGCAGAACACTGTTATTGTTGGTGGCTCTGCTTAATTGCTTCTCCAGCTCCTGAATTACATAGGTTTGACGATTAACCAAGCCTTGAAGGTTTTCTTTCTCTTCTTTTAATGCATCCAACTCTTCCTTGTGTTTTCCCTCCATTTCTAATATTTTGTGTTCTAATAAACTACAAGAAAGTGAAAATAAGACTTACTTTGGACCATACTATACAAATTCATAGTTGAATTAATTCTTGGGTTTATATAATATTCGAGATTTTAATAAATATTTTCAATATAAGAATATTCTCTGTGATGGACTGAAGAATATAGTTGCTTTATTTATTTTTTGAAATAGGATTTACATATATAACATGTTACCCGCCCCCCCCACCACAAAAAAAAGATTACACCAGTAGTTGCTAAAGTCGTTTTTGTTTTTTAAATATAATTTATTTCCTGGATTGAGTTCAAACAATTACAGTATGGGGAAGGAATAGTATAACTTTCACTAAGGAAATGAGTCCAATAAGACATAGAATACAGTAATTCAGAAAAATTAAGAATAAAATATAGAAACTACTTTAATATACTTTATTTCATTCATTGGATATTTGCAAAACATCGAAATTAATTGATTATCACATGACTTATGTGAACTCAAGAAATATGTTTATATAGAAACCATAGGACTATTCATGTCATACTGTGATAACTTCTATGTTGTTAAGACGAACAATAAGCCCCTATATTTCAACTACCCACAGAATCACCCATGGTAGACAGATTTCCATGGTGTTTTCAGCCTACTAACAACAGGCTTAAGTGAAAGGACAGGCAGACAACATTTGAAGTATTAGTCATGGGAAACCTTCTAAACAATTACAGAGGATTGTCTGATGCAGTGCCAACATCCAGTACCATAAACCAAGTTGATTCCAACTCAGGGCTTCTGAGACTATAAATCTTTACAGAAGGAGAGAAACTCATTTTTATCCCTTAGAGAAGCTGGTGGATCGAACCACGAAACTTAAGGCTTTTTGTCCGACAATGACCCATTAGAGACACCACGGCTCACACTGTAGATCTGAAATTTAAAACTGGGGCAGACGAAAACACTCACTAATAATTAGAACATGGAATATGTGAAGTATGAATCCAGAAAATAAAAAGTCACCAAGCATGAATGGGCTGTAGAAAAATCAATATCATAGCCATTAGTGAGCTGAAATGGACAGGCATTGGATATTTTGAATCAGTCATATTGTCTCCTATGCCATGCATGACAAATTGAAGAAGGACATGGCATTCATAGTCAAAACAAATGTTTCAAGATGATCTTGAAGTACAATCTATCAATGATACAATCATATCCATATGCCTACATAGAAGGCTAGACAATATGACTTATTCAAATGTACATATCAAGCAAGAAATGTAGAGCCAACTACTTTAGTCTGATATTGATCAAATCTACAACCAAGATACATTGATAATTGCTGGTTATTGTAATAATAAATCTAAAAATGAAATAAGACAGATATGTACTTGAAAAACATGGCCTTGATGATACAAACAACTCTAGAGAACACATGATAGAATTTTGCAAGACCAAAGACTTATTCATTGCAAATATTATTTTTAGCAACATGAACAATGACTATATACTTTGACATGGCCAGATAAAAGCCACAGAAATCAAATTAAGTATGTATGCTGAAAGACATGTTGGGAAGCACATTATCATGAGCAAAACAAAGCCAATAGTAAATTGTGGAACAGACCATCAGTCGCTTATATGTGAGTTCACGTTGAAGTTGATTTTAACAAAATCACAAAGCTAAAATATGTGCTCTCCTAGAGGGTAGCTATGCGTGGGAATTGACTCAGTGGAAGTGAGTTTAGTTTGGGTTTTGGATAGGCAAATTACTGAACAATGCTGCAGGAAGCATTAAAAGGAGATTGAATACATACATACACATACATACACAGTCACTGCACAAA